TTCTCTCCCCTAACAGTGTCTGCTAGTTGCCATCTCTTCGACACACTTCTTCAGATTCCCTAGCTACTTCAGAACTTGTTCGGATCCTACATTACTCTCCGCCACCTCCCGTGGCCCTGCTAAGGCCTGAGCATAACTCCTCTTCACTACCACCTCCATTCTATCATTCCTCAGTCTTAGCGAGGATCTCTTTCCCAACTTGTTCTAGTTTGGTAGCCAGCAAGGATCCAGCTTCATCTATTTCGTCCCTGAAACTCGTTCCCCTATGGCCTCTTTCACTTTGACTATGTAGTCAGGGCAATTCCAGCAACAGCCTTCATGCTTTACTGCATTCTGTAACGTTCTAAACGTTGAATTGCTCAGACCCACACAATCTATGTCCGACGTCGTCCTGCAGTAATTGCATGTCAACAGACTCTGGTGACGCTTCAGCCCCTAATTCCTTACACCTCATGGTTGTTGCTGTTGGGGGAAGAGGGGCGTGCAGACTGGTAAGGTCTACTCAGCCTTCAGCCCACCAGTTTACCATGTGATGGATTTCTAATCGTCGGCTTAATAATATTGATCTTTATTATTAGTACTATGATAATTGCTTCTAATCTGTGTCTTGGTAGCAGGGCTTTAGCGTCAAGGTCCCCTTAAAGGCCCCGCTTCGCTGCCTGCGATGAAGATGAATTTGATACAGTTTGAATAATGGCACAGTTACCAGAGGGGAAATTATATGGATACCTTGGTTGCTCGGTCTTTCAGATATTTATGACAGTTTCTAACCGATTATCTTTAGACTAGTGATATGAAAACAACACGTGATTGACTGCTATCCACTACTTGCTGATAAGCTCAAGGTCACCTATGTCCCTCTCTCAGAGTGAACAACAACCCATCCTGGGAGGGAGGATGCAATCTCATGCTGACTCTTGTTGCGTAAATAATATAACCGCATTATCCTTTAACCTCATAATCTGTAATGTTCTTGTTAAATGTGACCCATGATTTACATCAGTACACTGTGACCCATGACTAAAGTTACCATTGAGACCCATAACTTACATTACTACTGTGACCCATGACTTACATTACCACTGAGACCCACGACTTACAGCACTACTGTGACCCATGAAATACAGCACTACTGTGACCCATGATTTACAGCACTACTGTGAACCATGATTTACAGCACTACTGTGACCCATGATTTACAGCACTACTACGAACCATGACTTACAGCACCTAACAGTGACCCATGACTTACAGCACTACTGTGACCCATGACTTACATTGCTACCATAACCCATGACTTACAGCAGTACTTGACCCATGACTTACAGCACTACCAGACCCATGCCTTACAAACTAGTGTGACCCATGACTTACAGCACTACTGTGACCTATGACTTACAGCACTATTGCACCATGACTTACAGAACTATCAGACCCATGACTTACAGCACTACTGTTACCCATGACTTACAGCACTACCGTTACCCATGACTTACAGCACACTGACCCATGACTTACGGCACTATCTGACCATGACTACAGCACTACCAGACCTGACTTCCTGCACCACTGTGACCCATGACTACAGCACTAACTGACCCATGACTTAGCACACGGTGACCCATGACTTGCACTACTGTGACCCATGACTTACAGCACTACTGTGACCCATGACTTACAGCACTACTGCACCCATGACTTAGCACCCGCGACTTATCGCACACTGACCCATGACTTACAGCACTAGTGAACCATGACTTGCAGCACTACTGTGACCCATGACTTGCAGCACTACTGTGACCCATGACTTACAGCACTACGGGACCATGACTTACAGCACTACTGTTACCCATGACTAGAGCACTACTGTGACCATGACTTACAGCACTACTGTGACCATGACTTACAGCACTACTGTTACCCATGACTTACAGCACTACTGTTACCCATGACTTATAGCACTACTGTGACCCATGACTTACAGCACTACTGTGACCCATCTACAACTAGTGTAACCATGACTTGCAGCACTACTGTGACCCATGACTTACAGCACTACTGTGACCCATGACTTACAGCACTACTGTGACCCATGACTTACAGCACATTGTGACCCATGACTTACAGCACTAGTGTGAACTATGACTGGCCATTGCATCATGACTTACACTATGACCCATGACTTACAGCACTACTGTTGACCTATGACTACAGCACTACTGTTACTCCATGACTTACAGCACTACTGCATTCTCATGAACAAGCACTACTGTGACCCTGATTACAGCACTATGTGAACCATGACTTACAGCACTACGACCCATGACTATTGTGACCCATGACTTACAGCACTACTGTGACCCATGACTTACAGCACTAGTGTAGACCCATGATTTGCAGCACTACTGTGACCATGACTTACAGCACTACTGTGACCCATGACTAAGCACTACGTGACCCATGATTAGCACATACTATTTACCAGATCATGGCACTACTGTGACCCATGACTTACATTACCACTGAGACCCATGACTTACAGCACTACTGTGACCCATGAAATACAGCACATAGACCATGATTACAACACTGTGAACCATGATTTACAGCACACTGTGACCCATGATTTACAGCACTACGGAACTATGACTTACACTACAGTGACCCATGACTTACAGATACTACAAACCAATCACTTACATTGCTACCATAACCCATGACTTACTGCAGGACTGTACCCATGACTTACAGCACTACTGTGACCCATGCCTTACAGCACTAGTGACCCATGACTTACCACTACTCACTACAGCACTCACAGTAACTGATTACAGCACTACAGGACCCATGACTTGCAGCACTACTGCTACCTACACTTACGATAACCAACTTACAGAATGACCCATGACTTACGGCACTACTGTGACCCATGACTTACATAGCACTACTTAGACCCATGATCTGCGACCTGTGACTCCATGACTTACAGCACTACTGCAGACCTATGACTTACAGCACTACTGCACCCATGACTTACAGCACTACTGTGACCCATGACTTACAGCACTACTGTGACCCATACTTGCACCACATCCATGACTTACAGCACCACTGTAATACATGACTACAGCACTACTGTAGACCCATGACTTACAGCACTAGTGTGAACCATGACTTGCAGCACTATCAGACTCCATGACTTACAGCACTACTGTGACCCATGACTTACACACACGCTATGACTTACAGCACTACTGTTACCCATGACTTACAGCACTACTGGACCCATGACTTACAGCACTACTGTGACCCATGACTTACAGCACTACTGTACCCATGACTTACAGCACTATTGTCACCCATGACTTACAGCACTATTGTGACCCATGACTCAGCACTACTGTGCCCACAGCACTATTGGACCCATGACTTACAGCACTAGTGTGAACTATGATTGCACATACTGACCATGACTTACAGCACTACTGTGACCCATGACTTACAGCACTACTGTGAATCGACTTACAGCACTATCAGACTCCATGACTTACAGCACTAGGTGACCATGACTTGCACTACGTGACCATGACTTACAGCACTACTGTGACCCATGACTTACAGCACTACTGTTACCCATGACTTACAGCACTACTGTGACCCATGACTTACAGCACTACTGAGACCCATGAATTATATTATCAGACCTATGACTTACAGCACTAGTGTACCATGACTTGCAGCACTACTGTGACCCATGACTTACAGCACTACTGTGACCTATGACTTACAGCACTACTAACCCATGACTTACAGCACTAGTGTGAACCATGACTTACAGCACTACTGTGACCCATGACTTACAGCACTACTGTGACCCATGACTTACAGCACTATTGTGACCCATGACTTACAGCACTACTGTTACCCATGACTTACAGCACTACTGTGACCCATGACTTCACACCATGTGACCCATGACTTACAGCACTACTGTTACCCATGACTTATGCAATACTGTGACCCATGACTTACAGCACTACTGTGACCGCACTTAGCACCACTGTGACCCATGACTTACAGCACTACTGCGACCCATGACTTACAGCACTAGTGTGAACCATGACTTACAGCACTACCGGGACCCATGACTTGCAGCACTATCGACCATGACTTACAGAACTAGTGTGACCTATGATTACAGCACTACTTGACCCATAATTACAGCACACTGACCCATGACTTACAGCACTACTGTAATCCATGATTACAGCACTACGGACCATGACTTACAGCACTACAGGACCCATGACTTACAGCACTACTGTTACCCATGACTTACAGCACTACTGTTACCTGCTTACAGCACATACAGGACCATGACTTACAGCACTACTGTGACTGACTTAGCACTGTGACAGACCACCATTACTGGACCCATGACTTACAGCACTACTGTGACCCATGACTTACAGCACTACTGTGACCCATGACTTACAGAAGACTAGTGTGAACCACTTCACCAGCACTCATTGTGACCCATGACTTACAGCACCATTGTGACCCATGACTTACAGCACTACTGTGACCCATGACTTACAGCACTACTGTTACCCATGACTTACAGCACTACTAGACCCATGACTGCACTACTGTGACCCATGACTTACAGCACTACCAGACCCATGACTTACAGCACTACTGTGACCCATGACTTACAGCACTACTGTGACCCATGACTTACAGCACTACTGTGACCCATGACTTACAGCACTAATAGACCCATGACTTACAGCACTACTCAGACCCATGACTTACAGCACCACAGACCCATGACTAAGCACTACTGTGACCCATGACTTACAGCACTACTGTGACCCATGACTTACAGCACTACTGTGACCCATGATTCAGCACTGGTGTGACCCATGACTTACAGCACTGGTGTGACCCATGACTTACAGCACTGGTGTGACTCATGGTTAGTGAGGGTAGACTCACCGGATCCTGCCCAGCTGCCCCGTGGTCAGCTTGGAGCCCACCATACCGCTGATCCTCCCGCCCATGCTGAAGCCGATGACGTGTGTGTGAGCCAGCCTGGGGGACACATTCATGGTGACCTTAATAATGTTCATGATGACCTTAATAATGTCTATGGTGACCTTAATAATGTCTATGGTGACCTTAATAATGTTCATGGTGACTTTAATAATGTTCATGGTGACCCAATAATGTCTATGGTGACCTTAATAACAACTGATACACTTACCGGTACATCTTACTACGATAAATTCAACCACCAGTACATCTTACTACTGATACACTCAACCACCAGTACATCTTAACACTGATAAACTCAACTACCGGTACAACTTACTACTGATACACTCAACCACCAGTACAACTTATTACTGATACACTCAACTACCAGTACATCTTACTACTGATACACTCAACTACCGGTACAACTTACTACTGATACACTCAACTACCGGTACACATTACTGATACACTCAACCACCAGTACAACTTACTACTGATACACTCAACTACCGGTACAACTTACTACTGATACACTCAACTACCGGTACAACTTACTACTGATACACTCAACTACCGGTACAACTTACTACTGATACACTAACTACCGGTATCTTACTACTGATACACTCAACCACCAGTACAACTTACTAATGATACACTCAACCACCAGTACAACTTACTACTGATACACTCAACCACCAGTACAACTTACTACTGATACACTCAACTACCGGTACATCTTACTACTGATACACTCAACTACCGGTACAACTTACTACTGATACACTCAACCACCAGTACAACTTACTACTGATACACTCAACTACCGGTACAACTTACTACAGATACACTCAACTACCGGTACAACTTACTACTGATACACTCAACTACCGGTACATCTTAATACTGATACACTCAACTTCCGGTACAACTTACTACTGATACACTCAACTACCGGTACAACTTACTACTGATACACTCAACTACCGGTACAACTTACTACTGATACACTCAACTACCGGTACATCTTACTACTGATACACTCAACCACCAGTACAACTTACTACTGATACACTCAACCACCAGTACAACTTACTACTGATACACTCAACCACCAGTACAACTTACTACTGAAACACTCAACTACCGGTACAACTTACTACTGATACACTCAACCACCGGTACACCTTACTACTGATACACTCAACCACCAGTACACCTTACTACTGATACACTCAACTACCGGTACACCTTACTACTGATACACTCAACTACCGGTACAACTTACTACTGATACACTCAACTACCGGTACAACTTACTACTGATACACTCAACTACCGGTACAACTTACACTGATACACTCAACTACCGGTACACCTTACTACTGATACACTCAACTACCGGTACAACTTACTACTGATACACTCCACCACCAGTACAACTTACTACTGATACACTCAACTACCGGTACATCTTACTACTGATACACTCAACTACCGGTACACCTTACTACTGATACACTCAACTACCGGTACAACTTACTACTGATACACTCAACCACCAGTACACCTTACGACTGATACACTCAACTACCGGTACAACTTACTACTGATACACTCAACTACCGGTACATCTTACTACTGATACACTCAACTACCGGTACAACTTACTACTGATACTCAACTACCGGTACACCTTACTACTGATACACTCAACTACCGGTACAACTTACTACTGATACACTCAACCACCAGTACAACTTACTACTGATACACTCAACTACCGGTACATCTTACTACTGATACACTCAACCACCAGCACACCTTACTACTGATACACTCAACCACCGGTACAACTTACTACTGATACACTCAACCACCGGTACAACTTACTACTGATACACTCAACCACCAGTACAACTTACTACTGATACACTCAACTACCGGTACAACTTACTACCGATACACTCAACTACCGGTACAACTTACTACTGATACACTCAACCACCAGTACATCTTACTACTGATACACTCCAACCACCAGTACAACCTTACTACTGATACACTCAATTACCGGTACACCTTACTACTGATACACTCAACCACCAGTACACTTTACTACTGATACACTCAACTACCGGTACACCTTACTACTGATACAATTCAACTACCGGTACAACTACTACTGATACACTCAACTACCGGCACTACTGATACACTCAACTACCGGTACAACTTACTACTGATACACTCAACCACCAGTACAACTTACTACTGATACACTCAATTACCGGTACACCTTACTACTGATACACTCAACCACCAGTACACCTTACTACTGATACACTCAACTACCGGTACACCTTACTACTGATACACTCAACTACCGGTACAACTTACTACTGATACACTCAACTACCGGTACAACTTACTACTGATACACTCAACTACCGGTACACCTTACTACTGATACACTCAACTACCGGTACAACTTACTACTGATACATTCAACTACCGGTACAACTTACTACTGATACACTCAACTACCGGTACACCTTACTACTGATACACTCAACTACCGGTACAACTTACTACTGATACACTCAACTACCGGTACATCTTACTCCTGATACACTCAACTACCGGTACAACTTACTACTGATACACTCAACTAATAGTACACCTTACTACTGATACACTCAATTACCGGTACACCTGATGATTAGCCCCATCTTATTTCACCTTTAAATTAACCCCCGTAACGCTAATCTAACATAAATTAGCCTAATTTAACCTTACCTTATCTAAACTAACCTACCCTCCCTCCCCCAGCATCATTTGGGTGTTTAATCCGCAGGTGAAATAAGCTCTGGGTGGGCTGTTATTCAGGTGATCCCTTGATTGACTGTGGAAGACAGGGAAAAGATAAAACCGAGACTCACTGTAAGCTTTTGTGCACAACCAGGGTGTCTATGAGGTGAGCGATGAGGGAAGCCACCTGTCGAGCATTGTGTCTCATCTGTAGGTAATTGATGGTGTGCAGGTCCCAGTAGTCCACCACCACTACCACCCGCTCTTCTTTGCCCACCGATAGTAGTGCTGGTAACAACAACACTCAGTACACACCACCACCGTCATCCATTATTAGATAGGAGGGGGGACGAAAAAAAAGTGTGACAATCACACCGAGATAGGGCAGGGAAGGATGGAGTGGGGGACTCAGCAATATAAAGTAAATAACTAAACAAGTAAAATAGGCATTATCATTGAATTTTATTGTCTTTTAAATGAAAATCTTTCGCACTTCAGGTTCACATCGATACCTGTAGGCATAAAATGTTGATGTTAAAATGTATTACTGTTTCAACAACTAAGGCATTTAAACTGGTATTCTAACTTAGTCAATGTGTACTAGTAAGCAACAATTAGAAATCAAGGAAGGTATTCAGACGACATAATTACACAAATTTAAAGGAAGAAAGATGCCACATTTCAAATAAATTTAATTATAATGATAACTAAAAATATAACTTTCCTTCCTTTCAATCCATGTATCTTTGTAGTGCAGTGCTTCTTCAAAATGAAAAACTAACTACTATAAACAAGAAAATCCCTCCTGTAATATCTTAACCATTTTTGCGTGAAAATTTGAAGGTAGGTCTCAGAGGACAACCCGCAGCAACCCGCAGGACAGGTGAGCACTGTACAGTATTCATTTGACCACAGCGGCATTTGTAAATTCACGTGTGTGTGTGTGTGTGTGTGTGTGTGTGTGTGTGTGTGTGTGTGTGTGTGTGTGTGTGTGTGTGTGCGCGCGCGCGAGTGCTAAGCAGTATCTTACCATCTGAGAGCCGACGTATCCAGGGTCGATGTGAAGACTCGCTGAAGCCGTGGATGATGAGGGTGAGGTGAGTGTGGTTGGTGATAGGCAGGTCCACCACACCCTCATCAGTGGACCAGAACTCGTGCTTCTCACCGCCCGGCCTGTACAACCAACACCACGTTAGCAAGGAATCAAAAGGGAGGAGGAGAGAACGCAAGGCAAATTTTTACTCAATTACGAAGCTTTGGCGTGTCGCCAAAACCATCAGTGTGTCTAGAAACACGCAGATGTTTGGAAGTGATGAAGTATGTGCCCTTAATTATCTGATAACTTTGAGGCTTGCAACACTGGTCAACAATGTTACACAAATCCATAAGGGCTTTCGTTTAGTGGTAATTGTCAGCATGCACTAAGAATTTCCAAAAAGTTAAAATTACAGAGAAAAGTGCTTCTTTTGTGTCAACCTTGGACTTACAACTCGTTAGATTAACGGAAATGGACTAAATTAAATGTCGAAGAAATTAAAATTAACGGGTCTCTAACATGTTGGAACAGAAAATTATCTCTAAGTTTCTACAAAAAGAGTAGCAGGGTTATTCAAGTCATTTGGGATGAACTCGTTTCTCAAGTCGATGTCGCCATAGTTAAAGTCCCCCATGATAAGGAGGTGGCTAGGGTTGAGCACCGCCGCGTTGTCTATTAAGGCTCTTGAAATGTTCAAAGGAGGGCCACCAGACTGGTGCCTGCACTTCGGCACCTCAGCTACACTGAGAGATAGGAGCGCCTGAACTTGCCAGCTTATGCTACAGACGGGCAAGGGGGGACCTAATTGGGGTGTACACGCATCTTAAGGGGCACTACTCATTCGAGTGTCCTTACTTGGAACTGGCGGACGCTCGCCCCACAAAGAGTCACAGCTTAAGATTGAAGAAGCCGCAAGTCCAGAAAACTGTAAGGGCAAACTTTTCTGGAGTGAGAGTTGTGAACTCTTAGAACAATCTATAACATCGTTGTTCATCTGATATCTGGTGTCTCTGTTTACGTCTCCTAGACTAAGTACTTTACATTTGTCCACATTGAATTTCATCTGCCATTTTTCAGACCACTCGAAATATTTGTTTAGATCTTCCTGTAGTTTTGCGGAATCCTCGTCAAATTTAATTTTACGCCCTATTTTAGTGTCAACAGCAAATTTACTTGTGTTGCTGTCTACGCCGATATCTATGTCGTTTATATATATATATATATATATATATATATATATATATATATATATATATATATATATATATATATATATATATATATATATAATTGTCCAAGTACCGAGCCTTGGGGTACTCCACTAGTGACGTTACTCCAATCGGATATAGTGCCGTTAATGCTCACTCGCTGTTTCCTTTCCTGTAACCACACACTAATCCATTTTAGAATATCTCCTCCAATGCCCTGAGCCTCCACTTTTCTAATTGGCCCACATTATCCGAACTTGACAAGGAAGTGTTCAAAAAACGTTATCTGGTTTACACTTAGTTTTATCATACTCAGCTAATCTGTGAGTGGAGACCATCATGTTCAAGGCGTATTCTCAAACCACAAAGTTCATCCTTTAGTAAGGTGCACGAGCGCATTATTACCCGTCCCCCCCTTGGCCGTAATAACCTCAGCAATTGACGGCCAGTAAATTAAAAATAAAAAAAGTCACTGAATCCTTGCAAGAAATACCTTCATGATACTGAGGATATACGAGCATAATACACAGCTAAGAGAAGTAGGTACTACTTAATAATGCAATCAATCTTCACAGAAGAATTTTAAAAAAATGAAGGCAATTATGCTCCGATTAAAAAAAAATCAAGTTAATTTACAAGTCACAGACCTTCTATTGAGTAAATTTGTTTTTGAAGATACTGATTTAACATCGTAAGTACTTTGTTCACGAGATGAGTGTGGAGCAGATAATTATACCAAAAAGGAACAAGTGATTATTAAGTAACAATTAGATACATTTAAATTCATATATAAGTTTAGGTACCACCTCCATAATTTCCTTTGGTTTCAGTATAACTGTCGTATTAATATTAATGCTTTATCTGCTTAATTGTGTTTTCATTTTGCGTGGTTTGCTATTTTGTCAATATTTTCTTTATCAGACTTATAGATGTTTTACTTTAAATGCACGAGAAATTATTAGTAAAGGTAGACAACGAAAGTGCAAGAAAAATACATTGACAACGTAAAAAATATCCTTTCCTTCCTAAAAATTAAAATTTGTTTTCATAAGAACTACGATCGTTCGTTTTTATCTTCAATATTGTTGAGACACATCCAGGTCATCTTGAATGCTTTTAATACCTGTGTTTTCAAATACTGATAAAAAATTATAGAGTACCTATTGTAATAGTAGTAGAAGACGCCGTTGTTTCCCGTGGGGGTGTAGTGCAGCAGAAGCGGCAGGAGGACGGCCAAGTGAATACCAACCACCACAGCCACCACCCACCCTTTGTTCACATCTGTCCCTCGCATCACCCCACTCTTAACCGTACTACCACTTTGCTCTCCAATTTTCACCCTACTTCTATCAACTTGTTGCTGTTTCGACTTATTGATAGCAGCTTTATGGTTCTTGTCAACATTTCGTATCTTAGGATGTAGCCCATTACTAGTAATACTGGGGCTAGCTACACGCCCACTCCCACTTTTCCTGACACATACTCGAAGCCCCTCCGCTCCCATCTTCACCAATAATGCCAAAATATCCCCGAAATATCACTCCTAGTAGCCGTTTAGTAGTTTTTTCTTTTTAAATATAGTACAATTATTTTTCTCTTTAATGCAAAGTCAAAATCAATGTACGCAAATATAAAGTGTCACGGTATCACTTGTATGGTCGAGGTGAGTGAAGTGAAGGCGAGTGTGCAGGAGCAAGTGACTGGCAAGAGAAACGGCAGTGATGTATATATGTATGTGGTGAAGCCATGCTCGTGTTTACCTGATAACTGCTGCTCCACTCGCACACTACCACCTTTGCTCATTATCAGTGGTCTCATGTCTTTTTTTTTTCCTAAGCCCTCAAGCAACACTTAAAAATGTGATCATGAGAGCAAGCGGTCGTTTGCTTATTACGATTATTCAGGCTATAATTTAAATGCTTTTAATATTCAATTTGATTTTAATTTATCATTTCACCAAGTATCTGCTAACTAACCGTTCGGGCGGTGGGACTGTTCTTAGTTACTTTGTTATAGTCTTTATTTTCCCGTGTTTGTACATGAGGAAACCAGAGTACAGTACCCAGGCACCTAGCGAAGCTATCAATTTGGGTAGGATTTTTGAGTCTTGAACCAAACATCCCATACCCCACAAATGGTGACCCCCGGAGATTCGCACTCACACAGGATGGAGGAGAAACAATTCACGCTCCCAGTCTTCAAGCAACATGGAAGTCTGGCTTATCCACACAGAGGCAGCTCTCATCGGCTCTACAGCTACTGTCTCTACACCGCAGGTTAGACACCCTAGAAAAGCACTGCTTCTCTAAGCAGACACCAGCTCCTCTTCCTGCCCCAAGTACCACGTCCTACCGACCCCAGCACACCCGTCCTGCCTCAGACGCCGCCCCTGGCCCAGCAGCACCCCCTGCCGCTTCTGCTGACCCAGTCCCTGCTCCCGACGCGGCCCATGCGCCTGAGTGCGGACCCACACACCCCTCTTTTCTCCCTCAGGTACTCCCTGCTACTGTCCTGCACCCTGCTGCTGTAGTGAACCCAGCTGCTGTCACGAGCCCTCATCCGCTTCTGCTGACGCAGCCCCTGCTCCTAACCCAGGCCCACACACCCCAGCAGGCGCATCTGAGGACTCTGTACCTGCCGTGAGGGAAGCATAACATTCATCGCCTCCACACACCCTCTTTCTCCCACAGATATTGCGTATCTAGACAGTTGTCTCTAGCGGCCGGCTCATCCACGCCCTGCCGTTATGTCCCACATGAGGCATGCACCGCCCGTTCTGCCTCACATGTGCCATGCAACCCTGCAGACAACAAGTCTCCTACACCGCCTGGAGGGAAGAAGGGAGTATTGTAGTGGATTTCTCCCCTACAAACGCTGTTTGTCGCTGAGTAGCCGATCCCGCGAATTCCCCAGTGTATGCCTCGTGGTCTAGGTCAGCCTTAACAACATCAACCTAGAGAAGTCGACTTGTGAAAGAGACCTAGGGGTACTTGCAAGCCCGGACCTACGGCCTAGAAAACAGTGCGTTAATGTTCGAAATAAGGCAAACAGAGTATTGGGTTTTATATCTAGAAGTGTAAGTAACAAGAGTGCAGAGGTCTTATTGCAACTATATCTTGCGCTAGTCAGGCCGCGCCTCGATTATGCGGATCAGTTCTGGTGCCTTTATTATAGAATGGATATAAATTCACTGGAGTCGGTGCAGCGAAGAATGACAAAAATGATTCCGGGACTTAAAAACCTTCCATATCAGGATAGGCTAAAGAAACTTAACTTGCATTCCCTAGAAAGACGAAGAGTGCGGGGAGATATGATAGAAGTATTTAAGTGGGTGAAAGGCATCAATAAAGGGGATATAGATAAAGTTCTTATAATATCCGAGCAGGATAGGTCTCGGAGCAACGGATTCAAGTTGGATAAGTTTAGGTTTAGGAGGGAGATAGGAAGAAACTGGTTCACAAATAGGGTGGTGGACGAGTGGAACACGCTTAGCAAATTTGTAGTAAGTGCGGGAGCTCTGGAAAGTTTCAAAAGGAGGCTAGATAGATTCATGGATGATAGAGAGTGGTAGTAACTCTCGACAGGAGCTGCCATGCACAGGCCAACCGGCCTATTGCAGACTCCTTATTTTCTTATGTTCTTATGTAACCAGCGCCGCCTTACATGACGGAGGTCAACTACTAAGCCACGCCTACCCCCGCTATTTAAGACCTGACCTCGTTGTGACCTCTCCTCTTCTTCTAGCTACAGCTGCAGCAAGCAACACCACCTCCTCCGCCACTGCCTGGCGGCCCTCGCTCCCGCCGGCGAGCATGGCGACCCACAAGCTGTCCTCCTCTGAGCATCGTCACCAACCAGCTCTCTCTACATCACGCTTGTAACCATGCTGCCTTCCCAGCACCAAGCTGCACTGTACATCCAATACAACATGTATACAGAGAGCACATTGTGAGTTTCCTTTCTCCATCCCATCCTGAGTGTGAGTCCGAACAAACTTCTCATACCCCACAGGATCACACAAGATAACACCCTTCTCACGTCTGACCAGGACCGGGAATTGAACCCAGGGCACAACAGTGAAAGGTACACGGAATTTTTTTCTTCAAAACTTTCATTGTAGCTTAGTTTCCCATGTACAGTGCCGGATTAACCATGAGGCACTTGAGGCACTGGCCTCAGGCCCCCCGAATCTAAGGGGCCCCCAAATCCATACATTCTCGAAGTTGAAGCGTACAAAACATGAACTTCGTTCAACGATGTCCTAGCAAAGTCTCAATTTTCTGTCTCTTATGAACATTAAATGTGTTATTTTGCAGAAGCTTAATATTGATGAAATCATTGATAAATTTGGGGATATTTTGTACTTGTTATTTATATATACCTTGAGGGTAGGGGGCCCCAAGTTGATCTGTGCCTTAGGCCCCTATTAAGCTTAATCCGGCCCTGCTCATGTATTACAAGTATAGTACCTGTGCATCATAATTATGATCTTTTTCAAAACCAACCAACGTAAGATATATTTTACCGAAACCAATCTGTGTTGGATAACCATGATAACAATACTGTACCTACTGAACATTGAACTCGGCCATCCTCATAGTGTGACGTGCAGAGCTAATCACCACCTTGCTCGTGAACTTGGCACCTCACTCATCTACTACGCCCCAGATCTTTGTCAGGTGATGTGGACGGTGGTCATTAACCTTCAGACCTTTATCAGTCAGGCCAGATTGTAATACCATCACGTTATCTTAAGATTAAATGTATTTTAACAATTAAAACTTTTGTGTTCATTAGTGTATATATATATATATATATATATATATATATATATATATATATATATATATATATATATATATATATATATATATATATATATATATATATATATATATATACTAATGAACACAAAAGTTTCAATTGTTAAAATGAGGAACTCCAGAGACAACTATTTTGTGATTTAGAATATTTTTGATATGGATATGTATTTTTGTAAGCCCCGAGGAGGAAAACATAAATATATTTTGTGGATTCGAAATGAAATTTGCGCCAGAGCGAATACATCCCAGCCTGGGGCTAACCACACCCTGCAAAATACAGTGTACTTAGCAAATGCTGCAGCTTCTGAGAATGTGGAGGGGGGGGGGTTACTACTAAGAGCAGAGACGTTACCGAGAACAAATTCTGGCTTGAATGTCATGTACACTAATACTGACACGTTCCTTGATAAGAGAGAGGAGTTTGAAACACTTCTGAAGGTACACCAACCCGATATAGAGGGTGCTGTAGAAATGTTTTACAAGAACAAGAGAATCGACCCAGAGGAATGCGAGTTCAATATTGACGGATATGACTTATTTACGAACCTAACTCAAGAATCCTGCAGGAGGAGTGTGGTTATCTACGCTAGGCAAGACCTTAGAGCCAGCCAGGCGAGGGTACAGGGAGAGGATGTTTTTGAAGAGTCCAAGTGGTGTAAAATTAAATTAAAGGGAGGGGGACTTACTTATCGTCAGGTGTATCTACAGATCCCCAAACTGTGGCCCATTAAATCAAAGGAACTTAAGAACCTTAATAAACAATGCGGCGATGCTCAACCCTAGCCACCTCCTTATCATGGGGGACTTTAACTATGGCGACATCGACTGGAGAAACGAGTCCACCCCGAATGACTTGAATAACCCTGCTACTCTTTTTGTAGAAACTCTGAGAGATAATTTTCTGTTCCAACATGTGAGAGACCCGACACATTACAGAGGGGAGCAAACACCCAAGCCACTTGACCTCATCATAACAAACGAGGAGGGTATGGTGGCCAAACTGGAACACCTTGCCCCAGTTGGCACCAGTCACCATATAGTGTTGTCATTCAGATTTAACTGTTACCTAGTTCAAGATAAGGCCAGGCCAAGGTGCAAATATTACAAGGGAAATTACAATGGGATGAGGGAAGAGATGAGGGGTATCAACTGGCCTGACTTATTAAGGTACAAGAACGCAGACACTACGCTGAATATCATAACTAGTAAAATTACCCATTTGATCGATAAATATATACCCAAGACCAAACCCAGTGCTTCTAAGAATACGAGGGGATTCCTACACATGAACCATGCGGCGGTCGTCAAAATTAAGAAGAAAACTCAGAAATTCAAGACGTGGGTTGGGTCAAACGATGAGCAAGACAGGAGGATGTATGCAAGAGCCAGAAACCAAGCAAAGATAGAGTGTAGGAGGGCTGAAAAGGAGTTCCAGAGGCTGGTTGCACGCGAGGTCAAGTCAAACCCAAAGGCGTTTTACCGCTATGCAAAGTCGAAATTGAAAACGCGAGTAGGAGTATCAGACCTGAGGCTGGTGGATGGCAGTTAAGCAGATTCTGACCAGGATAAAGCTGAGGCATTGAACAGCTTCTTTTCCTCAGTGTTCACAAGAGAGGATGCAACTAACCTTCCTGCGTTTGAGGACAGACGGTTCGACACAGCACTGACCCACATTGTGTTCACAGAAGAGAGTATTAGAAATAAACTGTCCAGGCTAAAGGTCCATAAGAGTCCCGGACCTGACAGGGTGCATCCTAGAGTGCTAAGAGAGTTGTGCAACGAGCTTGCAGAGCCCCTGAAGATCCTGTTTTGCAAATGCCTGGATGAACAAATGGTCCCCAGTGAATGGAAAGTGGCTTATGTGAGTCCTATCTTCAAGAAGGGCGATAGTCACTCCACGAACAACTATAGACCGGTGAGCCTGACCAGCATAATATGTAAAGTACTTGAGAGTATTATCAGAGATGCAGCGATGGAACATCTACTACGAAACAACCTTGTAAAAGATTGCCAACACGGTTTTATGCCGGGGCGCTCTTGCTTAACACAATTGCTCAAGGTATTGGATATTTGGACCCATATTCTAGAACGGGGTGGTAATATCGACAATATTTACCTAGATTTTGCCAAGGCTTTCGACAGTGTACCCCACGAAAGGCTGAAAATCAAACTGGAAGGGTACGGAATTCGGGGAAATGTCCTAGCGTGGATAGAAGACTTTCTACATGACCGCAAGCAGTGTGTGGTGATTAATGGCACGAAATCGTCATCTGTACCTGTAACAAGTGGGGTACCACAGGGCAGTGTATTGGGCCCGCTGTTGTTTGTTTGTTTCATAAATGACATGCCTGACGTTGTACACTCCTCCATACAAATGTTTGCCGATGATGGCAAGTTATTTCGGGAAATTAAGAACCAAGCGGACTGTGAAGAGCTGCAGAAGGACCTCTGTGGGCTCCAGGAATGGTCGAAGAAATGGCTGCTGAGATTCAATGTCACGAAGTGTAAGAGGATGCACCTGGGGCGTACCAACGGTAAGGAGGCGTATCATATGTCCCAACGGGATGAAGAAAATGCACTAGTTGAGACTGTGTGTGAGAAGGACCTAGGTGTGTATGTTGACAATGAGCTGAAGTTCTCGGGCCATTGTGAGAAGAAGGTAAATCAGGCAAATAAATTATTGGGTCTTATAAGAAGGTCGTTCAGATATCTAGACGGTCCGTCCCTCGTGACGATCTTCAGGAGTGAAGTGCTTCCCCATCTGGAGTACTGTCACCCCATCTGGTCCCCGAGATATGCTAGGGACTGCCAGTTGGTTGAAAATGTTCAAAGGAGGGCCACCAGACTGGTGCCTGCACTTCGGCACCTCAGCTACCCTGAGAGATTGGAGCGCCTGAACTTGCCTAGCTTATACTACAGACGGGCAAGGGGGACCTAGTTGAGGTGTATAAGCATCTCAGGGGGCACTACTCAGTTGAGTGTCCTTACTTGGAGCTGGCGGACGCTCGCCCCACAAGGGGTCACAGCTCAAGATTGAAGAAGCCGCAAGTCCAGAAAACCGTGAGGGCAAACTTTTTCGGAGTGAGGGTTGTAAACTCTTGGAACAATCTACCAGAGAGTGTTGTGACGGCACCAAGTGTGAGCTCTTTCAAGAGAAGACTTGACCAACACTGGAGCGGGTTCAGGTTGTAGTGGAATTCTCCCCTACAAACGCTGTTTGTCGCTGCCTAGCCGACCCCACAAATTCCCAAGTGTATGCCTCGTGGTCTAGGTCAACCAGCGCCGCCATACACCACGGAGCGGGGGTCAACTGCTAAGCCACGCCTACCCCCGCTATTTAAGACCTGACCTCGTGGTGATCTCTCTCTCTACCTACAGCTGCAGCCAGCAACACCTCCTCCTCCGCCGCTGCCCGGCGGGCCTCGCTCCTCCGCCTGCCTGGCGGTCCTCTCTCCCGCTGGCGAGCATGGCGACCCACAAGCTGTCCTTCTCTGAGCGTCCTCACCAACCAGCTCTCTCTACATCACGCTTGTAACCATGCTGCCTTCCCAGCACCAAGCTGCATTGTACATCCAATACAACATGTATATAGAGAGCACATTGTGAGTTTCCTTTCTCCATTCCATCCTGAGTGTGAACCAAACAATCTCATACCCCACAAATGGTGACCCCGGAGATTCGCACTCACACAGGATGGAGGAGAAACTGCTTATCCACCCAGAAGCAGGCACCGCAGGTTAGACACCCTAGAGCAGCTCTGCTACTCTAAGCAGACACCAGCTCCTCTTCCTGCCCTAAGCACCACGTCCTACCGACCCCAGCACACCCGTCCTGCCTCAGACGCCGACCCCGGCCCAGCAGTTACCCCTGCCGCCCTTGATGCGGCCTCTGTTCCTGAGTGCGGACCCACACACCCCTCTTTTCTCCCCCAGGTACTCCCTGCTAATGTCCTGCACCCTGCTGCTGTCGTGGACCCAGCTGCTGTCACGAGCCCTCATTCTGCTGACGCAGCCCCTGCTCCTGACCCAGGCCCACACACCCCAGCAGGCGCATCTGTCGACTCTGTACCTGCCGTGAGGGAAGCACAACATTAATCGCCTCCAAACACCCTTATTCTCCCTCTCTACTCCCACAGATATTGTGTATCTAGACAGTTGTATCCAGCGACCGGCTCATCACGCCTACCGTTGTCCACATGAGGCACGCACCGCCCGTTCTGCCTCGCATGTGCTAAGCAACTCTGCAGACAACAAGTCTCCTACACCGCCTGGAGGGAAGGGGGAGTATTGTAGTGGAATTCTCCCCTACAAACGCTGTTTGTCGCTGCCTAGCCGACCCCACAAATTCCCAAGTGTATGCCTCGTGGTCTAGGTCAACCAGCGCCGCCATACACCACGGAGCGGGGGTCAACTGCTAAGCCACGCCTACCCCCGCTATTTAAGACCTGACCTCGTGGTGATCTCTCTCTCTACCTACAGCTTCAGCCAGCAACACCTCCTCCGCCGCTGCCCGGCGGGCCTCGCTCCTCCTCCTGCCTGGCGGTCCTCTCTCCCGCCGGCGAGCATGGCGACCCACAAGCTGTCCTTCTCTGAGCGTCCTCACCAACCAGCTCTCTCTACATCACGCTTGTAACCATGCTGCCTTCCCAGCACCAAGCTGCATTGTACATCCAATACAACATGTATATAGAGAGCACATTGTGAGTTTCCTTTCTCCATTCCATCCTGAGTGAGAACCAAACATCTCATACCCCACAAGGTACATTCAGGAGCCGGTGCATGCCAAGTATTTGCCAACAGTGTGTAACAGAGACGTGACCGATCGCCCGGGCGGCTAGCGAGCCGATCAGTGGCGAAGAGGATAAAAGGAAAAGGAATACAAGCTGCTCTTTTTAAATCTTCCCAAACAATACCTAGGATGCTACCAGGTCTATTCTTAATGTTGCTGACTTAATAAAGTAATATGAGATTAATGTAATTATTCATGAAAGAAAACCTTGTGCTCTTCCTACACCAAGGGATATATTTCTTGTCTTACACTATAGCGTTCAAGAGATAGGGAGTCGGGACTCGGCAGGCTGGAAGGTCTACTACTTACCATAAGCGACCTACAGTCCGACGAGTCACTAACTTGTGTAACATTAGAAGTGAAAGGATAGCTGATGTTCTCTCAGCGAAATACGCTAGTTAATTGGTAAGTTTAATTCCAAGTATATAATTTATTTCGTAGGTTACATAACATTTTGGACAAAATAATAAATTTAGTCGGGAGTTTGTTTACACGGTACTTCTTGCCGTGCTACTATACTGTACTTCAGAGACTAGCTCTATTAAGTGGTATATTCTGCCATGGCTGAATAGTGGTTTAATAAGTCAGGAGAAGGTAATTATTGACGATTGACCCCGCGGCCGATTTTTCATAGAAAACAATTATAAGAAAGTCGCAATTTCACTGTACTTTATAGTGGACACTCGTAGTTTGTGCAAATGTGTTAAAAAGTGATTATTTCTAAATTAAACGTAACCTAACCTTAGTTGATATGAAAAACAGGCAGCAGAAGCGTTGTTAGAAGGCCTCACCTACCTAACCAAACAATCCTACCTGAATACCTGAATTCTTATCCACGGATCCCCCGGTGGTATATTAAACAAAGAACCTACTATGATATGGTGTAATTTTATTTTGGTATTATTGCGTTTACACACCGTTCATTCCTACCACTAATCTATTATCATATTCAAATAAGACGTCTAATTATAAGATAATTTTCATCTATTACATTACCGGCGGAAATGCATAATAACGGAGATAGCTTTTCCAAAAAGAATTCTATTTTCTTCTATTAATCTCCCGCCATTATAGTCTGCCTCTCACCCAACACTGCGTGTCTTGCGTCTCCTTCATAAATCATGACCCGCATGCGTACCCGTACACGTCAAACGGCCAATCAAAAGCGTTTTTGCTTTTGGAACCAATTAAAATGATTTTGGGTTTAATTAAGAGTATATTTGGCCCAATCAAAATCGAGTTTTATTTTGGGTCTCTCATATTTTGAAATTCAAGTTCAGTTCCGACCATGGAAGTTAGGTTAGGTTTTTGTTTTTCTAGTGTTTTTTTTTTGTGTATTTTTTAGTCACTTAGCCACTTTTTTTTTTTTGGAAAACGTAAAACGAAAAAATCGCCAAAAAAACGGCTAATTTCCGCCAAAAATGAAGGTCATATTCGGTCTAAGCACACACAAATACACTAGAAAAATATATTTTTTACGTGCTGAAAGTGAATTGTGTGACAATGCAATTTTACCTTTATTTTTTTTTTGTGGACGTAAGAGCAGCAGCCTGTACCGAATGGTTCATAAGCTTACACTGAGCATCAGGGTTGATCCGGCCCGGGCGGCGAAGTGTTTTGAAATACGTCAATATGATTGGCTGTTTACATCCTGGGATGAGATGTCACCACTGCATTACTGCCAAGAAGACAGAGTAGTGTACGCCTAGGTGCCTAATTATCTACCAAACAAAGCATTTGCACAAGAAATGATTATTATATCAGAAGTCGCTGATGAAAATAGAGTAAGAAAATAAACAGTAAAAAGAATAACTCGTCTGTGGGTCAGTCGTAATATTAACCCCCATCATTCTAGCTGTATTGCTTGTCAAATCAGATATGATGTATATATATTTTTTTATATATATATATACGTTGTGGATATTTTGCCGTGATTGTTTAAGTTCCACCTAACGCTATTTTGCCATGAATGAGCATTGATTGGCTGATATTTTGCCGTGACTGTTTAAGTTCCAACTAACGCTATTTTGCCATGAATGAGCATTGATTGGCTAAGTACTTTTTGTTTAATATGATGATGGGTCTGCCGGCTAGGAAGTTACGTAAAGTAAGGTAGGTTTCTTTGGTTGGCTAGGTCAGGTTCTTAGGTTCCAGTAAATGTCACATCTTTTATAATGATAAGTTTCCACCATGCACAACAGAAATATGGTTAAGTGTGTTTACAGCTACACAACGGTCAACTCACGGCGAAATAAATGCCAAATACCGCCATTCACGGTCAAATATGGTTCTCGCGTCGTTCACCAGTTATGGACGATTAGCCAATCAGAGTGCACTCACGGTAAAATAGCGTTAGTAGGAACTTACCGGTCATGGCAAAATATCCACTGCCTAATATATAACACTTTTGGTAATGGTGGAAGGGACGGTTAACACTGAAAGAAGTTTGTAGGGTAAAGGTGTAGCGGACTGCTAACACCAGAGGGAGTTGATGGATTTCATTAATTTTTTCCACAGATGTTCTTTGGATGATAGTATGTAATAAAAATGATATGACAATGCATAGAACCTAACCAACCAAACCAAAGAAACCTACATGACATTACCTAACTCTGCCTCCCAGACCCTCCAGCATATTATACAGAAAGAACTTACTTTGATATTCGATACCAATGAAAGCAAGTTTCTTGAAGCGGCATGGTGTAATTTAAAAAGTTTTGTTGGGCGAGCGCCTCCGTTGATGCACTGAAATAAACTTAAGAGTGGATCACAATACTCGCCGACACGGCAGATTTTGTGGTGGAATATTTACTTTAAATAATTAATTTCTTTGCTTACAAAGCAGGAAGAGACATTTTAGTGTCATATGATCAGTTTTTTGCCGTGTTTTATCCCATAATTTCCCTCATCCTTCATCATCGTAGATATAGAAAACTAAAAACTAAAAATAACAATTAAAAGAAGTTTTATCGTTTTTATTACTTGCTATCATTCGGCTAACGAGCCAATCAGTGGTGAAGAGAGATTAAGTAAAGTAAAGAACATCTGTGAAAAAATGAATGTGAATGAACAACTCCTTCTGGTGTTAATCGTCTGCTCCACTACTGATGTTTATATCATGGACCAAAAGGTAATATTAGTGGAGGAGACGGTTAACACTAGAAATAATTTTTCTATTTCATTATTTTTTCCACAAATATTGTTTCGATGATAGTAAGTAATATACAATTATACAACCTTTTCCTATAATTTTAAGTGTTTGAAAAAAACTCTTGCTATGATCATAAGTCACCTATAGAGGGCAGGGCATAAAAGAAGAGGGAAATTATGGGGTAAAACATGGCAAAAAAAATGATCACATAGCAGTAATAAACTGTCTCTTATTTGTTTTATGGGCAAAAAATAAATTATTTACCCAAAAATTTCAGACTATTTTTCCATGGCATCCTGTGTTCACATCTCATTGTAAATTATAAATTTGTGATTTTGGTCTTTGGAAAGATTAAAAATATCTACGGAGACTCTCATTGGGGGTTTTATTACCATGAATATTGGCTTAATTGTCTTTTGTTTTCAATGTTATAGGTTTCACTTTCCTGGTGTTCATGTTTATAGGTTGGGCAAATCCCACTTATTTTTAATCCACACAATTGGTTCTTTAACCTATTCTATGTGTAAAGGATCATGAGATTCATTATATACAGTAGTTGGATTTGAATCCCATATTTTGGTTTTTGATACTTTTTTAATTTCTTTCAAGTAGCACTGGATACTAAGTTAATTGTATGTTTGTACAGGGTATACTTATTGTTCTTCTCCAAGGGGACAGACCAAGGATTTTGACCTTGGACAGACTCAGAGACAAGCTCATCATCTTTTATTTTAACAAAGTATTAATGGTATCCTGTGTGGGTTGTTCATTTTCTTACTGCAAGTTATCTATGTTTGTAGAGGATGAAGATTATCTCCAAAAGTTCATTCGTCAACATGGACTTCAGTAATACCCCGATTTACACGGTCAATTGAACCCGCGGAGTAGCGCGTAAAACGAGAAACGCGTAAATGAAATAACAGAACATATGGGATTAATTGAAATAGAGACTGGGCCGACTCCCAAACTCCACTTTTTCAGACACAATACCTACGTTATAGTAAAAATAACATCTTAATTTTATGATGGTATGCACACACAATTAATAATTAAGAGAAATATCAATAATATGAGGTTTTTTAACACTTACATTAGTAGAAAAGATGGCTGGGCACACGGGGATGGGGGGGTTGGTTCCGAGGCAGAGGACAGATTATTGGCCCTCACCTGTATTACTTGTATCAATTGTATCACTATCCACCACAGAGGCTTGCAGGGCCTCTTTGTCAAACCCCTCAAAGTCCATATAAGTCCATTTCCTCACTATCACTGACTTGGGCCGGCTGTGGTGGGTGGCGGGTGAAGAACTCGGTAATGTTTTGATGACTGGGCGACTTTGTGCGCATCCTGCGCACGCCGCTTCCGCGTATATGAGTAGATGCACCGCGTAAATTGGGCATTCCGGTTCTGGCGGGATACCGTGTAAATGTGGAAACGCGTAAACGAGAACCGCGTAAACCGAGGTATTACTGTATTCTATTTCCATGCTTACCCGGCCCATAAGCCATGCCCCTCGTCTATAGCTACAAATAGCCGATTGGTTCAAAGAAAGTGTTCGTGTAGCTGTCCATTTATTTAAATTAAATGTGTTCACAATAGGTAGCAGACCTGTTATTCTATAAAATAATATTAAATATTTGGACTATCAAAATGCAAATGATTTCAAGGCATTAGCACTTCAGGGAGGTTGTTAGAAAATTTTAAATATTTATCATGAAAGGTTAAAATCAAAGATGAAATTCACTTTCGAATGAAGTCTTTTCATTATTTCTTTGTTTTGTACCAAACATAAGCAAACAAAAACAAATGATAACAAACATATAGCACAATAGGTAATGAAGTACAGTTTGTACGGCTGGATATATCCCAAATCATTTACAGTACAGTATTCCCTTAAAGCTCGAGGTTTTAAAGCTTGCGTCCCTCAGAAACTCACGGATTGCCATGAAAAATAAATAAAATAATTCTGAGGCTGTGTGCCAGGGATCAAGAGGAGTCAACACTACAGGACAGTACAGAGCACCATATTTCCCAGGTCATAAGATGCACCCTATAATTAGCAAGGTGTATTTTGGAAAAATAATTTTTGCAGATCTAATAGCCTACTGTACTGGCAAAGTCAAGTCACTGGCTGTATGCTCTCATGTTTCTCACTACGACAACTCACTTTCACTTTATGGATCTATTATCGAACATTTGTTGGTATTATTAATATAATTGGTATTTTTGCTTTAGTGCACACAACTTTCCTACCCCAAATCTATTATCATATTCGAACAAGACGTCTAATTTGAAGATAATTTTCTTCTATTAAATTACCGTCGCAAACGTATAATAACGGAGATAGCACATGCCAGATATTTCTATTTTCTTCCATTAATCTTCCGCCATTATCGCCTACCCTACCTCCCACTCTGCCTGTTTCCTTCATAAATCGTCACGCGCGTGTGTTCCCGTACACGTCACGCGGCCAATCAAAAGCGTTTTTTTCCACCAATTTAAATGATTTGTGGTTTAATTTTCTCAGTATTTTTGGTCCAATCCGATTCAATTTTTATTTTGGGTCTCATATTTTGAAATTCAAATTTATTTACGACCATGGAAGTCTGCGATGGGTGTCACTTCAATTATATGGAGTTGATTGCGCGTTTTGGGGAACAAACGAACAAGCTGTATTATTTTTTAGGTCTCATGGTGTTCTCCCGACCTCAGTAAAGTGTCCTAAGTGTAAGAACGAATGTAAATGTTGTCAAGACCAACATATGTGGCATTGTAGTAACTCGTTCCTTATTCCCAAAACAAAGAAGAGATGTTGGTGGTCGTACACCGTCAGTGATTACAAAGGAAATTTTTTAGAAAGGTGCCATTTTCACCAGTACTAATCTCAGAATTGAACGGCAAACCAGAACCAGGCCAGTAAGGTAAGAAATAAGTGATTCCATCATATGATGAGAGTTAGGTCAGGTTAGGTTATTTTAGGTTAGGTTAGGTCAGCGTCTGATTTCTCTCTACCTATACAGTATGTACATTCTTCAGCCGATAGCTGGCTCCCCTATTTCCATTTCCAAGCATTAGAACTTTACATTCTGCTGCATTAAATTTCATCTGCCATGTTTTAGTACAGTACAGTATATCAGTGTCAGTAAAATTGGCTATCTTACAGGTCACTTGAATCCTCCTCTTAGCCATAAGCAAGAATGGGATTTCTAACTTCAGTTCTATATTTTTACAAACTCAAACTATTTTTCAGATCCAGAGGATTGACAAATTATGTTTCATGGACTATTAGGTGATCCATCCAAAACTGAAGAAAATCGACAAGAAAACATAAGAAAAGGTACCAAGGTGTTACAGGATGACAAAAATCCATGTATCAAGGTATACCTAATATTTATTGTTTGTTGTGTCCCATAGAATACTTTTTTTATAGGTAAATACTGCACTGTACTAACATTTAGAAAGCAGGTCTTCCCAATGGACGAGTTGACGGTTGGAATTTTTTTGTAAAATGGCAGGTCAATGGTAAAGAATATGCTTAGATTCACTATGGTAATGATATTTTTAAATAAATTGGGCCCAAAAATGTAAAAAAATAAGGGTTAAAGTTGTTAAACAGTCACGTGACTGCAAAAAGCTCTGTGATTGCTTGTGACGTCACTGACAAGTGCGAGCCACAGAGAGGGATCCTGGAGGCAGCCAGCTGTGGTGTATGTGCTGTTACCATCAGAAATACAGGACTTGTGGCCATATACACAGCCATACCTTATTTTTAGGTTCAAATAAATTACTGTGTGTATTTACTTGCTGGGTGCCTTAATGATGCAAAAGACCGATAACTCCAACATGGAAGTTTTCATCACTGTTCTCTATTTCATGTCTGGAAAATTTACGTTTTCATCACTGATGTCTATATTTAGTGTTGTGGAAGGACAAGAGACAACCATGGCCAGGGGATGGGCTTGAGATGATCAGATGATATGTAATTTAACTTGCATCATAGCTGGATGGCGGAGTTCTTGACAATACTCTACAATCATAAAGACATCTACTTTTGGTAAATTTCTTTCACCTGCCTTGATGAACCCTGGAAATAGTTGGCCAACCTTCTCGGCTGATCGGCTCAGTAAATTAATATTATTAGATAATTAATTGTGCTTTACTATGCAACACAGTAATGTTATACACGTATGGAATTAATAAATATTACTAAGCACATTAACTAATTCAATGGATATTAGCTGCCCCAACTACAAATTTCATAGTATAAACATTCCAAACAATATTGGTATTATTTTGGTTTTGGTCATCTGGGGAACCTTAAGATTCTAATTATGGGATTAAGTACTTTAAATAATAAGACAAATTATCTCTATAGGATTTCTGTCGCAAATTTTTGTTTTGAGCGCATAAGAAAATACTGTGTGTCCTCGCTTAACGTCGGGGTTACGTTCCTAAAAACACGACGTTACACGAAACAACGTTAAGCGGATCAATTTCCCATAAGAATTAGATAAATTACGGGAGTTATGTTCCTGAGCATCCCTTTGCCCCATGAAATACTTTACATATACAGAAAATCATTGCCATTTTAAAGAAAAAAATGCATACATATACAACTACTAAGTTTGTATTGGTACTCACCGATGGGCGGAGGTGGTAGAGCGAGTGTGTGGTGGGTAGTGAAGGGGAGCAGTATAGCGGGAGCGGAGGAGTATGGTGGTGAGTCACTGAGACTGGGCCAAGACGAGAGAGGGTGATGCGCCGTAAAATGTAGTCTGTGATGATGCAAAACGACGTAGTATCAGATCACCACAACGTTATATAAATTTTTGGTCTCTAAAGTTTAGCAATGTAGTACCGAAACAACGTTAAGCAGGACAACGTTAAGAACGGACTTAATGTACAGGCCATATGTTAGGTTAGGGTATGATGAGTTATATTTTAAGTTATAAGATAAGCTTAACGTACACCGGTAAAGGGGAGGGGGGGGGGTAGTAACCCAAAACTAGTGATTTCCAATAGAAATGAAGGTCTAAGTCGTTCATAACACATCGCAAGCCATCAGAAAAACATAGTCTGCATGTCTAAGTACAGGGATGACCAAAACTTAAAAGTTACCCAATATAGCCTATCTCGAATCTAAGCATCGAAATACTTATGGTAGTTAAAGTAAAATTTTACCCATTGATTAATATAAATGCTGATATATCCCAGTGGTTCATTAGTGAATTATCAAAACAATAACAGCACTATGTTGTCATGTTAACCTAGCATCAGGCATTCTCAAAAAAGTCCAGACAATGTCATTACTTCTAAATTGACTCATATCTCCATCCGTGCATCGTCTGCAGAGAAGGTGGTGACATCATTGCAAATGGCGGCCCTGTTTCTAGAGAAATAAACTTATCTCGACTAATATATCAGGACTTTAAACTTTTATTACAAATTATACATATCGTATCACTCTATGAACGTGGCAGAGTGTATTTCTTGTGTTTACCCAGAACCGTCAATTTGTCCATTGTGGTGTTCTCAACCGTGGCTTCTGTTTTTTGTGGTACAGTAAAATGTACTGACTTGCTCTCTTGCTGTTCCAATTATTTTGTGGCAAGCATCAGCAACAGATGGGGCCATTATGTCTCATTGTGGATCCTAAGTACAATTGGGTTAAGTACATATTTGATTCTAATATGTTAGATTATCCATAACACTCGAAGAAGGATGACATAAGAGATAAACATGAATGAAATACTTTATTGAGTTTAGATGGGGTAAGGAGTCTAGCACATCCTTGTTGTACTGTTTAGTTATGAACATTCTATTGTGTTGTGAAAGTGCAACTCAAAAGTATACTTGGACATTATTTCAAAGAGTTTGTTATAAATGTTTTAATCACATTAATCAATAACTAATATATTGACGATAATAGATTACAATGATTTTATTACAGTAGACATTCATGAACACAGCCTAATTGGGGGAAAGGGCAGTCCGAGAAGGTTGATTTTCTGAGTAGGCTTAAGTCTGACACAGGTCCAAGATCTGAGGGTAATTAAGTCAGAGACAGAAGGATGAGTTTGAGTCTGACCTAGGTCTGAGAATCAAAGGACATTAGTCTGAGATGGAAGGGAAAGTCTGCATCAAGTACCCTAAGAGGTATCAGTACTGTATAGAGAACAATTGAGTACATAAATACAATTTAACTGGCTATTTTGTATAGAAAAATTGCTCTTGAAATGATGTAATTAATGTTGAAGTGAGAAAGATTGGTGTCTTGAGAATAATTTACTTTATTCTGTTCCTCACTGATCATATCCACTACAGGTATCTTTATCGCCTTTAGGGTAAAATCATTAAATATGTATTAAATATTTAATATCTTAGGGAAGCATTAAATATTTTTAATACTGTATGTATTTATCATTAAATAATTTTTTTTAGTTTGAATAAATACATATCAAACTAAGACAGATACGCCCACGAAAAAATAGTTGTTCCTGCCGACAATAAATGTTAGTACAAACGGTCACGTCATCTGATCACACGGATACTGTGGGCGTATCACATGTTCTGACTTAGGTACTATCAAGATATTATGGATGGATGAAAATGCATTTTGTATAGTAAACATACAGTAATCTCCTCATTTGTCAGAATCCCCAGACCTCTCCAATAGGCAGAATTTAAATCGTCCCGGAATTTTTTTTTTAAATTTGTTCTCAATTCTGAGTCTGTGGGTGAGTTTTCTGGGATAAAAATCAGCCGCATTTTCTGGAAAAATTTAGAAAATTCTGGAAAACCTCTCCAAACTTTTCTGTTCCGGGTCTGAGAACAAATTCCGGAGATGTTTACCCAGAAGAGCTCTGCACCAATTATCTCGAGGAGATTACTGTACTGTATTACTAATTATGAATTATACTGTAAAAATAAGTAATTAGTTAAATACAGGGGGGGTCCTCGTTATCTGGGGTTAATTGGGATTGGAAAAACGCCTCTGATAATGAATCCACTTAAAGCGGGGAATTAACCCCTTAAGAAATAATGGAAATACTAGGTCAAACTGAGACCATGACATTGTACATGACTCTCAAAAATTGTACCTGTATATGATATCATCTAACAATTATTTACCTTAGAAATATTTTTTAAACATTTGATAACCCATTATTTTAAGAAATTATGTAACTTTATAAGTCCTTAAAGTTCATTGGGGTTGGTGTGTTTAGGCAACATAGGTTGTGTCAGCTACCCAGTGGTCCACAGCAACTTATTATAATGTTTTTAAAATAAATAATTTCAATAACAAAATATTTTTATTTACTTAGCTTTAAAGGTAGAGATGTTTGGATTGATGGAGTTGAGGGATGGAGGATTAGTCGTAGGATGAAAAAGAAACCGGACTAGGTGGATTGTCCACTCTCACTCTTCTTTTGCCTAATCACTTCTAATTTTACATCTATACTATAGCTAGTGTGCTTCCTTTTGAGTGCTGCACCACCCTGTCTGGGTTGGGAACTCAAGGCTACAAAAATTATAAAATACTGTAATTCACCACAACATGCACAAAACGATACAACAAAGGCAACACAGCACTGGTCTGGAAGAAACAAAGCGGGAGACTGGTGTGGGGTCACGTGTGTGCATGCACGACGCCAGGAAGAGGATGAAATTTCTAACGCTTCAGCTAAAATTCCGTAGATTTTGTCGGGAGTTTTAAATACTGTACTTACGTAGATTTTATCCGGAGTTTTCAGAGTTTTTGAGTGGAATTCACTTAAATGCAGGGACTTTTTAAGTGAATGGTCACATAAAGTTGACCACTTAACTGCTGTTGGGAAAGAGATCCTTGCTGAGACTGAGGAAGTAGCCATAGAATGGGGGTGGTAGCGAAGAGGAGTTATGCTCATGCCTTGACACGGCCACGGGAGGTGGCGGAGAGTAATACAGGATCAGAACAGGTTCTACAACAACTAATGACTCTGAAGAAGTGTGTCGAAGAAATGGCAATTAGCGGACCTACTGTTAGGGGAGAGGAGAAACAACGGGAATGTTTCCAGCACAGGAACAATGTAATAGTGTTTGGAGTCCCTGAGAGCCAGGCGGAGGGAACTGAGAGTAGGATAACACAAGATAAGATACAGTTTAAGAATATTTGTACAGAGGTTCCGAAGACGCCAGCAACCCCACATGATGTGAGGAGGCTGGGACAAAAGCAGGGGGATAAACCTTGCCCCCTCAGGATCACACTAGTGAGTGAGGAGGAGAAATGGGAGGTTATTCGGCAGGCAAAAAAGTTAGCAAGGAGCGAGGCATCTCGGAGTGCATTCATTCATCCAGATCGCACGGTAATGCAGAGGGAACAGCACAAGAAGCTCCTG